TGTGTGTACCCAAAGGTGTCATTGGAAGGACAGACTGCCTACAGACAGATGATACAGACACAACGGTCAGGGCTGACAGCTCTCACATGAAAAAGGAGCGAAAGGGAAAAGCTAAAGCCAGATGTACAGATTTCATTTTAACTGACCTGCAAGAGCGTTTATAGCCAAACTGTAAGCACAGACTTGCCACAAAGCACAAGTCCTACTGATCCCATTCTAAAGCAACCTTAACGTTAGAGACAGACCAAGGTCTCCCCTTCCCACACCCCCAAACCCACACAGCTTGGCTTCAGCGCCGCACTGCAAACCAAGCGGTAACGTGAAGTCAGCACCAGCCTCTCTAAAAGTCTACTGGAAGGAATCCAAAATCCATCCCTCTGAGACCGATTTGGGCTCCTGTGTGCTAATGGAGCACTAATTCTGTAAATGGATTAATTTGTGCCTCGCAGACAGAAATTTAATCTCTTCCTTTTAATTCTTCGAAGCAAACAGTAATTAGTCCCAGTTTGGTTAGTCAGAAGCGAGAAAATGGGTTTCCCCCCTCGTTTTCCTGCGCTGTAAATAAAACCTCTATTGCATTTAGAGGACTCGCCAAAATACCTTTGATCTGGTTCAGAACTGTATTTAAGACTATTTCCGAATTAACTCATTTATTTAATGAATTGTTGCTGGCTTTGTTACTACACTGCCATGTCACAAGGCAAAACAGTCCGAAGCACTGCACCTGCATCAAATAGCTTCAATAGGAAACAAAACCGTTTTGAAAAGAAGAAGCAAATGCCAATTCATAAGAAGAAAAGTACATTTTGGAGGGATAAAACCTTCTAAGATGGAATAAGCTGAGGGTATAAAGGAGCCACAGGAACCCAAAACCCGCACCCCCCGGCCACAGACGGGCCCTTCCTCCGCTCCCCTCACCCTGGACCCGCCTGGCCCTACCAGGTCTCGGATGAGCTGCCCCAGCAGATCGTCGCCATCGCCGCCTCCATCACCTGCGGGCTCCTCAGCGGGGCGGGCGGGCGAAGGGCTGCGGCGGGCCGGACCGGGCGGGGCGCCGCCGTGCAGCAGGCCGCGGGCCAGCGCCAGGTAACCCGGCTCGGCCTGCTCGGCGCTGCGGCGGCTCCCGGGCTCCGCTGCCGGCCCCGCTGGGGGCTGCCCGGCCGCTGCCGCTGCCTCCCGCCGCCGCCGCTTCGCACCCCCCGCCAGCTCCTCCCGCCAGCAGCGGCGGAACAGCTCCAGCTCCGCCGAGCCCTCGGCCATGGCGGCGGGGCCGGGCCCGGCCCAGCCTCCCCCGCGGCCCGGCCCGGAAACCGCCCCCTCTCCCGCGCGTTCCGCCGCACGAAGGTTCCTACGCCTGACGGCGCCGCCATGTTGCGGGCCTGAGGCGGGGTGAGCGCCGCGCTCCGCAGCCGGATGGAGGCCCCGGGCCTTGGGAAGGTCCTGTCGGCTGAGCGAGGGCCGCGGGCAGGGCTCTGCCGTGAGCCCTCAGCAGTGGCCGGCCCATGGGGGAAAGCTGCTCCCAGAAGAACAGGAGAGGACGTGGAGCCAGAGCAGGAGCGTTGCTGTGGCACTGGGCGATGGGCGCCAGTTGGACCACGTTTTCCACCCATTTTGTTGGCCAAGGCTGAAGCGGAGCTCATGGGCAGGGGCGGTCGTGCCCATTGTGTGCCCCAGGAAGGTGCTGTGCCTGTCAGAGCATCCCAGTCACACTCGGTGCGTTCCACAACCACTTCCATGGTGCGCTGGGGAGGAGATGACCTCCAGTATGAGCCCATCTTGTTGCTTCAAGGCTGCGTTTCAGATGCTGGCTGAACCCAACATGGCTGTGGAGCCGCTGTCGCCTCAGATGCCGCCCTGAGGGGAGGAAAGGCCGCGGGTGTTCAAGTCTTCAGCACCAGTTCCATGCAGCACTCGAGGAAGCAGGTAAGTGACACTTGTCAATGGAGGCACTCAAATGGCTGCTCCTTCACTGGTGCACAGCGGGAAAACACATGGCCCATGCTTCCAGCAGCAGCCTGTGCCGGGTGCATCCATCCACCCTTGTAGCTGCCATTCAGCACCCTCAGTGCCCACTTGCTGGTTCCTCTGCTTGGTAGGTTGTTGCTGGCCATGCAGTTTGTAAAGCCCAATGTGATGAACACAGACACTGTGGATTCTGGGAAACCTGAGCTAGCTCAGGGACTCCTCATCGGGGACTGGAGCGGTAGGACAAGGGGTGATGGGTTCAAACTGAAACAGGGGAAGGTCAGGCAGAAGCTCTTCCCTGTGAGGGTGCTGAGGCGCTGGCACAGGGTGCCCAGAGAAGCTGTGGCTGCCCCATCCCTGGCAGTGTTCAAGGCCAGGTTGGACACAGGGGCTTGGAGCAAGCTGCTCCAGTGGAAGGGGTCCCTGCCTGTGGCAGGGGTTGGAGCTGCAGGAGCTGTAAGCTCCCTTCCCAAACCAGTGGGTGATTCCATCATTGTGAGTACAAACCCTTCAAAAGACTTTCATTCCCTGTGCAGCAACCAGTTGGACACAGAGGATGCATCCCCGGGGGCATGCACTGACCGTGGTGAGCCCTGCCAGCCTGGGGGAGCTGTCCCTTCAATCAGGATGGATGCATGCTCCAGGCAGGGTAGATGTTGGGAAGAGAGCGAGCCCCAGGAGTGTGTCCCCTGACCCCTCTGCAATACTGGGGGATTTGCTGAGGGGTGGCAGCAGTTTCCCTGCGAGGCAGAAGGAAACGGGACGGTTTGGGGTGATTCCTGCCCCAGAGGGAGCTGCAGGGAGCCCCCACTGCTGCCCCAGGGCTGATGTGTGATGGGAGGTCCTGTGCAAGGGATCCCAGCCCTGCTGCTGTGCACTGATGGCTGTGGAGACTGCATAGCGCCGGGTCAGTGCCTGGAGGCTGTGTGTTCCTGCCTCGGCCACCCAAAATGTGATCAGCATCGGTAATGCTTTGGGTGATGAAATCCACTCCAGCTCTGCGTAATCCCCTCACTGCCCCCCTGCATCTCCACACTGCCCCCTCCATCCCTCACCGGCAGCTGCATCCCCACACTGTCACCTGCATCCCTACGCTGTCCCTGTATCCCCATGCATTCCCTAGATCCCCACACTGTCCCTCTGTTTCCACACTGTCACCTGCATCCCCATGCTGTCCCTCTCTCCCCACACTATCACTCCATCCCCACGCATTCCCTATATCCCCACACTGTCCCTATATCCCCACACTGTCCTTCCATCCCTCACTATCACGTGTGTCCACACACAGTCCCTTCATACCCATGCTGTCCCTCCATCCCACGCTGTCACCTGTGTCTCCTCACTGTCCCTATATTCCTATGCTGTCACCTGCATCTCCACGCTGTCACCTGCATCCCCACCCCGTCCCTCTATCCCCACACTGTCTCTCCATCCCCATGCATTCCCTATATCCCCACACTGTCCCTGTATTCCCATGCTGTCACTCCATCCCCACACTGTCACCTGCATCCCCACACTGTCTCTCCATCCCCATGCATTCCCTATATCCCCACACTGTCCCTATGTTCCCAAGCTGTCACTCCATCCCCACACTGTCACCTACATCCCCACGCTGTCCCTCTATCCCCCACTGTCTCTCCATCCCCACACTGTCCCTATAATCCCATGCTGTCACTCCATCCCCACGCTGTCACTCCATCCCCACACTGTCCTTTCATCCCTTGCTTTCATGTGTCCACACAGTCCCTCCATTCCACACTGTCACCTGTGTCTCCACACTGTCCCTATATTACTATGCTGTCACCTGCATCTCCACATTGTCACTCTGCATCCCGCACTGTCCCTATATCCCCATACTGTATCTCTACACTGTCCCTTTAGCCCCATGCTGTCCCTCCATCCCACACTGTCCCCATATCCCCATACTGTCACCCGTGTCTCTACACTGTCCCTTTAGCCCCATGCTGTCCCTCCATCCCACATTGTGCCTATATTCCCGTACTGTCACCCATGTCTCTACACTGTCCCTTTAGCCCCTTTATCTCCTCACTGTCCCTATATCCCCGTACTATCACCTGTGTCTCTACACTGTCCCTTTAGCCCCATACTGTCCCTCCATCCCACTGTCCCTTTAGCCCCATGCTGTCCCTCCATCCCACACTGTCCCTTTAGCCCCATGCTGTCCCTCCATCCCACACTGTCCCTTTAGCCCCATACTGTCCCTCCATCCCACACTGTCCCTTTAGCCCCATGCTGTCCCTCCATCCCACACTGTCCCTTTACCCCCATTACTCTCCCTCCATCCCACACTGCCCCTTTACCCCCATTACTGTCCCTCCATCCCACACTGTCCCTTTAGCCCTGTGCTGTCCCTCCATTCTACACTGCCCCTTTACCCCCATTACTGTCCCTCGATCCCACACTGTCCCTTTAGCCCCATACTGTCCCTCCATCCCACACTGTCCCTTTAGCCCCGTGCTGTCCCTCCATCCCACACTGCCCCTTTACCCCCATTACTGTCCCTCCACCCCACACTGTCCCTTTAGCCCCGTGCTGTCCCTCCATCCCACACTGCCCCTTTACCCCCATACTGTCCCTCCATCCCACACTGTCCCTTTAGCCCCATACTGTCCCTCCATCCCACACTGTCCCTTTACCCCCATTACTGTCCCTCCACCCCACACTGCCCCCCCGCTCCCCGGTACCCAACTTTCCCACCGCACACGCCCCGTCCCCTCCATCCCCTTTCCCCCCCGCACCGCCCCGTCCCCCCTCCCGCCGCCGAGCGCCGCCCCGCGGGGGATGATGTAACCCCCCCCGGCCCCCGCCCGCCGCCGCCCCGGCCCGCCCGCACACTGCGCGGCACTCGGCGCTGAGCGGCGGCGCAGCCATGTGCCCCTGCGCGCTGCGCGGCGGCCCCCCCGCGCCCTGCCCCTGCAGCCCCGGCCGCGCCGCTCGGCCCTCGGCCGCCGCCCGCCTGGTCGCTGCCCGCCTGCGCCGCCTGGGCGATGAGCTGGAGCAGCGGCGCAAGGCGCGGGGCCGCGGGCCCGGGGCCGGCCGGCGCCTGGCCGCCGTGGTGTGCCTGCTGTGCGCCATCACGCCCGCGGCCGCGCTGGCCTGGCTGATCCGCAGGAGGAGCCTCTAGGCGAGAGGGGCGCTGGCCGGAGCGGGGAGCAGGCGGGACGCGCAACAGGTCGGCACCGCGGCGGGGACGGGGACGGGGACGGGGACTGCGCTTGGCGGGGCGCGGTTGCGGCCGGAGCGGGGCGGCGGGGACGGGGTCGGGACGGGCAGAGCGTGCTGGCCGCGGTACCGGTGGCTGGTAACGGCAGCACGGAGCGCCGCGGCCGGTGCCAGATCGCTCCGATCTCTTCTCTCCTTCACCCTCTCCCCTCTCTCCCAGGACTCCCCAAACAGCTCCTTTTCCCCTCCCCAAACTTCCACGGCTTCCAGTCTCCGCCCGGGTCACCCATGCGCTCACGGGGCAGTTCCAGCTCTATGCCCGCGCTGGGTGAGCCTGTGGCCCCAACGGGGCAGCGGCAGCAGCGCAGGGTGGCTCTCGGGGATCAGAGCAGGTCCCACATGGCCCCAGCTGTCAGCCCTGGGAGATGGAGGGTGCTTGTCCTGCACACCCGTGCCCGCAGAGCCTCCAGCCCTCTTGTGAGTGGAGGAACATCCCATGTCCTGCCATCCCCCGTTGGGCTTTGGACCCACGGGTGCTGCAGAGCACCCATCACTAAGGTCCCTGGGTGGTGGATGTCCCCACAGGACCATCCAGCAGGACTTTGGCTGGCAGTGCCTGGCTCTGGGTTTTGGACAATGCCTTGCTCCAGTGCTGGAGGCTTTCCCCAAGAGTTCCCAAGCCAGCGGCTGGGCAAAAGCTCAGTGACTGCTCCTAGAGCTCCCGCTGTGCTCCAGAGCCACCGAGCAAAGCAGCAGCAGGGAAATGGGGTATACCTGGTCTTCTAACCCTCATTGTCATCCTGGGGACACCTCCTGGGCTGGTGGGCTCTGGGAGTCTGAGCGCATGTGGGGTCACCTCGGGTTTTGGCTGCTCGGAAGTGCTCTTTGGGACATGGGTTTCCCCCCACAGACATGAGGAGCAAGGGCTGCTATTTTGGTTGCTTTAAATGGTATCCTGTGTGTGTTCCTTAATGTCTGTCCGTGTTCAGGAAAGACCTTAAGTGCATGTCTAACTTTGAGCATCCTCTCATATCCCCCAGCTTGGATAAGGGTTTAGAGGAGCTTAAAATGAGGTGGGAAATGCCACCAGCTCTGGGCTGACCTTGTACGATCCAGTTTAACGGGGCTGTTCGCAACTCTTGGGCAAACAAGAGTTTGCCTGTCAGGAATCAGGTCTCGTATTGCAAAATGCCTTGCATGGTTTTTAGGTGCACGAGATGCCATTAAGTACATATGAATAGTGTGGAGGAAGAGCGTGGTTCTCAGGAGAGTTGAAAACTGAGGTTTTCCAGGAGGTCTCTGTGTGTGTGCACTGGTGTATGCGGGGGCATTGCTGTCGCCTGTCTGAGCCACAGCTGCTGCGGCTGTCGGGAGCTGGTTACCTCTGGGAAGCTTTCTTTGAAAGCAAAACCAGAACAAACCTCGGGGTTTTCTTGAGGAATCAAAGCCTCCATTGCTATAAAATGTGAGTATTTTATAGAGGTATGAGGCTGTGGGATAGCGACCGACCCTCCGTCCCTTCCTGTCAGCTTAATGCTAGTGTATGAAGCAAACCCATCCATCTGACTTGCTTGCCTCTAAAAGTTGAAGTCCGTGGGGGGACTGCCGTGATCTCCTTCATCTTGGGGTCCTTTTCTCTCTAACAAGCCAGGGAATTTCCTCCCTGCCCACTCTCTCATCCCATGGAGAGAAGGTGGTGATGAGTCAGGCCGGCAGAGAGATCCTGTTCTCTGACCCCGTGGACCAGGGCACACACTCAGCCCAGACTCCTGGCACTGCCACAAGGCCAAAGCTGTTTGGAAGCCGTTTGTGGAGGTTCACATAGCTTTGGTTGGCCAGATGCTCATTTTCCCCTGCAATCTCTTCTGCTGTTGGCTCTGTGGAGCCCTCACCTGCGTCTGGCTCTCTGCACTTCAGGCCAAGCAGTAACCAGTTGCCTGTGAATTGCTTTGATAAAGACACTATGGAAAAGCAAAGCGTTATCCTCATCACAGCAAGGGAGCTCCTTCAGCATGCACTGTCCTGCCTCACAGCTTCAAAGGCTGCACAGACAGGATGTGCTGAGCTGCCTCCAAATGCTCGGGGGCTTCGTGGACACAAATACAAATGTCAGTCTCTGAAGGGAAGATCCTTGTGTGTGATGTGAAGCACTTGCAGGGATAAAGAGGCCAGATGTGGGACAGTCTCCTGGTTGTCGCCCCGTGCAGCAGACTGCCTTGCCTGTTTCCTGCTAAGATTCTAAGGCACAAGTGACCAGGCTGAGGGTGAGAACTCACTGCAACCCCAGAACAATGAAACAGATCATCTACACCTCAGTTTCTGGGAGGACTTTGCCATTAAGAATCTTTTCTGTTCATCCTGAGCAGTAACTTGCTCACACCAATGGAGGTGTCTGATTATCCACAGTGTCTCAGAGCCCAGGTGACAGTGCAGTGAGCTGGGTTGGACTCAGTGTTTTAACTCTGCAGAGTGTTTCTGAGCAAAGTCTGTATTTTCCTGCCATCCTCAAGAGACACTGCATTGATAATAACATTGTTCTGCAACAAGATGGGAAGTCCAGGTTCTGAGCACTTGTGATCTAGGGATATCGTGGAAGGGCTCATAAGAGGAGACTCACTTGTACCCTTAACAAATGTGTTGCAGTCAGCGTTTGTCTTGTGAGCTGATGGTTGCAGAAGGAATAGAAAGTCAGAGGAAGAGGCTGGTTTCAGCTTGGTTTACTCCTTGAGTTCCTCTCCTGCCTTTTCAAGTGGTAAGAGCATTTTGCATTGGCTGTCCTGAGCCTACGTCCTGTTTCTGAGGAGGAAGGCTGGTAGTTGTTCCCTCAGGTCCCTGTGGCTTTACACAACAGTGCAGCTCAGGGAATAATCCTGTGTACCAAGGAACTTCTCCTGGTGATGCTAGGGAAAGCAGGATTCGGGCTGCTGCATGTGACCAGCTTGTATCTGTGGAGCATGCTTGGGATTTGGGGATGGATGCTCTGCAAATGGCAGTTTTATAATGCATAATCTGACATCACCTTGAAATATCCAGCCAGGGCATGAAGTATAGTTGTCATGTACCACTTTGGCATCCAAAGTCACTTGTGTTTCGCTCTATTAGTTCAGAAGTGGCAGTGTATTAAAATCAAACCCTACTTGTCCCTGCCAGCTTCACCAGCCTGGTTCTGTGCCCACTGTGCTGCCAGTAATCCCCCCCACTGTTTGCTGCGAGGTTCATGCAGAGCCACTCTGTCCAGAGTCTCAGTGCAGTTAATTATCTGTATTAAAACAGGGTTGATAAGATGTCTGGAGATGTCACACTGAGCTGTGCAGGAGAGCAAAGGAAATGAAGGACCAGAGGCAGTGCAGCTCGCACAGGACAAGGCTGTGAGCTCAGCAGTGAGCTGCAGTTCCACACGAGGACAGGCATTCAGCATGTTGTGCCCTGTGCGCATCCCTAACACAAAGAGGCCAGTGCTGTTGTTTATCCTTCTGGATAATGAAGGAAGAAGGAGCCTGCTCTTCCTAGTGGCAAGCATCCTACTCGAAAATGCCAAAGGTCCCCACCACAGTTCAATTGCACAGGAGAAACTTCATCATTAAGTTTCATGATAAACAAGCAGCAGAGTGTTCAGAAGCAAACAGCAGTCCAGAAATGCCTCTTTCTGCAGGTGGGCTATAGCCAGGCAGGCCACTGCCTTGTGGAAAGATTGGAGCCCCAGTGTACTTCTTTTCCCTGTCTGGATTCCTCAGTCTTCCTGTGCTAAGGTCTCCTGAACACGCCGGTTCTGCCTCTCCTCTTCTTTCCTCCTACCTCTTGAACCTCCTCCTAATTGTTTCTTGGTCTTCCAAGTTACCCTGCTGTCTCCCACAGAGATGCTAATGAAGTGTGAGTGTACATGGATACAGGCTGCTTGGGAATTTGAAAGGGCTCTTGCCCAGCCCTTGTTCTCTCATTAACCTGCTGCTGTGTGAGGAAGGAAGCGAGAGAGCGCCTGGTTTAGTCCCCATCTCAAGCCTTCCCTTAGCAATCCAAGCCCTTAAATATATATATTTTCTTTAAATATATGAACAACTGTTATTTTGTTTATTAGGAGTGGAACTTGTGCCAACAGAACTGCCTGTGTAATCCATTTAAATCAAGAAGTTACATGCTGACATGCTAGCTGGGAGCAGAGCTCCTTTTGCCAACTGCTTTAGGGGCCATGAGCTCAGATTCTCCCCTGGCTTCATGCAGGTGGTGCCCAAGCATGGCTTTGTGTCCTGTCTGAAGAAAGATTAGTCAAAGAAGTGCTGAGCTGAGAGCAGGGACCCCCTACCCGAGTCATTTCATGCTCATCCTACTCAGCATCCCGGAGAAGAGCAGCTTGCTTTGTGTGTGTGTGTAAACAGCAGCTCAGCGAGCTGTGTGATAAAACTGCAGGATTTAAGGCTGGAGAGTTCAAAGGAATTGGGAAGTGGAGCTGCCTGTATCTATTAAAAGCAATGGGATGTGTCAAGGGCTGGATGAGATGGTTTTGCAAATAGCAGCCAACGTGATTTGTCGTCTCACAGCCTCATTGCTTAATAGGAGCGATGAATCAGAGCAACTTGCTGAGCAGAATCTGCATCCCCCTAAATAACCAGGAAAAGAGGGACACATCACCAAAGGGAACGGTGGGTCCCATGAAACGTTTCAAAGCAAGTGATATTTTCTTTATCACTTCATGTTTTCCATAGACACCACATTTTTCATACAGGAACTCAGTGGTAATTCCTTTCTTTCTTTATAAATAAATGATGGATGCTTCATCCCTGGCAGTGTTCAAGGCCAGGTTGGACACAGGGGCTTGGAGCAAGCTGCTCCAGTGGAAGGGGTCCCTGCCCGTGGCAGGGGTTGGAACTGGAGGAGCTTTAAGCTCCCTTCCAACCCAAACCAGGATGGGATTCCATTAAAAATATTGCTAGTAGTGGATCCTCTCCTCCCCCCCTCCAGGTTTCAACCTTATGACACATAAAATAAACACATTTGCAGCAGCTCTACAGATGGGGGACACTCTTTCCAACTTGCTCTCCATCCCAGTGTTACAATGGGATGCAGTTTGGCTTTCCTCTGCCTGGTCAGACCTGAAGTACCACATTTTGATCTGTCTGCTGACTGCCTATTGTGGGAAATTTGGAGGAACTCCACTGAAGTCAATTGGGTTGCCCTGGATTTACAGTGCTGTAAATGAGATCAGAATTTGGCTCAAAGTATATTCCATTAATGAGTCAGATACTGGCAATGCAGCCAATATGCACCCAGAAATGGCTTTAACACCGCCTAGGATATTCAGAATTGTTTTATGGGAAGATGGGCTGAAGGCCAGGATTCTGGGGTTCTCTTTTATTCTTTCCATGAAATACACCTTTATGCAAAAGGCCAGCACGAGGCTGATGCAAAACTTAAGAGCCATTTAAAGCTCTTAGAATAGGGTAGCATGAGATGCATAAACATTGTGCTGAGCTCTTTGCCCACCCCAGAGCAGATTTATCACTCACAGTTCAAGACGTTCTAGGATTTATCAAGTTTTACAGGATTTCATAGATTTTCCTGTACATTAAGTGACACAGAGAGACAGTTTGTAAAGCACAATGTCAGCAAGGATGATCTGTTGCGGGCCATAGATGGCACAGAAGGACAAGGGTTCATAGCTGGCGATTGGAAAAGCTACTACAGGAGAAAGAATAAATAGGGATTAAATGGTTTTGCTTGGGAGGAAATCCTTTGATCAGCTCCTGAAGTCTTTAATCCAGTGTAACTCAAGTAAACACCTCACCTGAGTGTAAGCAGCCACATCCCAGGCTCTTCCTCTGCATCCCACCCCATCCCAGCTCTGCTTTCCCACCCAGCGATGCTGATGTGGTTTGTTTTGAAGACCTCCTATAAAGACATCTTTTGTTAGAGGTGCAGAATCTCCTCCTTGTGACTCTGGGCACATCTAGAGACATCCGGGGTGCTGTCTGTCTGTGCTCAGCACTGGCCTGGACCTGAGAGTGCAGCTCTGCAAGTGCAGGCTGAGATCTGTGGAGGCTGGTGTGTGAGCACAGGGCTGACTCCTTGTGTGCAGGCCAAGAGGCTGAGCAGGATGCATTTCAACCTCTGGTGGGCTACTTACTGACAGCTGGTTGTCCAGGAATCATGGAATCATGGTTTGGGTTGGAAGGGACCTTAAAGCTCACCCAGCTCCAACCCCTGCCATGGGCAGGGACCCCTTCCACTGGAGCAGCTTGCTCCAAGCCCCTGTGTCCAACCTGGCCTTGAGCACTGCCAGGGATGGGGCAGCCACAGCTTCTCTGGGCACCCTGTGCCAGCGCCTCAGCACCCTCACAGGGAAGAGCTTCTGCCTAAGAGCTCAGCTCAGTCTCCCCTCGGGCAGGTTCAAGCCATTCCCCTTGGCCTGTCCCTACAGGCCCTTGTTCAAAGCCCCTCTCCAGATCATAACAATAAAAGTAAAATATTATAACCACCCTCTCCAGGTTATCGATGGTCTGTGCTCTGTTGGCTGGTTTTGTGTAGCCAGTGTTACTGTGTTCCTACTGTAGGTAATATTACATAGATGTTCCAAGTTGGGTAATATGGTTTAGAGCGAGGTGTCCCTGCCCATGGCAGGGGGGTTGGAACTTGATGATCTTAAGGTCCTTCCCAACCCTAACTATTCTATGATTCTGAGTAGTGTGCACCTTTCCTCTTTATCTTCTCCCAAGACCCTAAGTAGCTCTGCAAGAAGACCTTTAAAATACCTGGAGCACTCCAGAGAGCGGGGAGGTGTGTGGAGTCTGTGTGTGCAGATACAGGAGCCCCAGGAGCTGTGTGGCTGTCTGGGGCATTGATCCCAGCAAGGCAAATGGAAACATGCTTCGAGTCCATGATTCATTCTGGCTCGAGTCCTTCAAGCTATTTCCAGTGTTGCTTCAGATTCCTGAAAAGCAGAAAGCAGGGCTGTGAACTGAGGGAGAGGTTGTAATCACCACATCCTGTGCACAGCAGCAGCTCCGGAGCTCACAGCAATGGGGATAGAGCAGACACGGTTAAATCTGGTGAGGCTGAACCAGAGATGTTATGTAGCAGGTTACTCAGAGTCCCATTGCAGCACCAGGACTTGTCCCCTCACAGGGGAGGATTCAGTTCATCTCAGAGATGGTGCCACTGAATCGCGACAGCCTTCACGCTGGCATAGGCTACAGAAAGCAGGGACGTGATTCTGGGTTTATATGGAGTAACGGTGCTCAGAATCTGTCCCAGAGCTGTTTGCCAGCCCTAATTACACTGACTTCATAGCTGATGCACTTGCACAGTCAGCTGCTCCTCCCTCCCTTCTCCCAGCCGGGTGAAATCACCTCATCCCGAAGGCAGCAGAGATTTCTCCACTAAGGTTTCTGTAAGGTCACTCACTCCCAGAGTCTTTGCAGACCAGACACCACGGCCTGAAAGATGGGACCTACCCCAGTGAGTGCTGGTATCAACAAGCCTAGGTATAAATGGGAATTGCAGAGTGGCTGCCCCTTGGGCACCTCGCCTGCTAATTTGCACTTAGATAGGTGCCTTTCTCTGAGCACTTTATTAATTAAGGCTTGCAGCCCACCTCTAAGGCAAAGAAGTTATTACTGCCCTCATTTTACAGCAGCAACTGAAAGAAGTGGTTTGCCCAAGGCCACAAATCTAATCAGTGGCAGAAGCAGGAATGAGTGAGCTCTTCCAGTCTCCTGTGGTACTCACTGCACCCCATTGCCTACCTGGAACAAAATTAATGGCTTCCCTAAAAGTTAATGTTTTTGTTAACGTGATGTAAATGAAGATGGAGCACCCAGGAGGAGCCGTGCAGAGTGAGAGTGCAGCAGGCATCCTGCAGTAGCACAGGGGTATCGGTGTCATCTCGTGTTGAACCACCAAACCATCCTCCCCATAAATTACGTACCTCTCCTTGTCCGTGGATTTAGCAGGAGGGTTCAAGCATAAATTTCAAAGAAGCTTTTATTGTAACCAATGCATCAATATAATTAAACCCAAACACAATTCTTTTGCTTTCTTAGGCTGGAGAGAACCCTGTGCCCTTGGAGAAAATTGTTTCCCCTTTTCCTACAGGGATCCAGAGCCTGAGCAGCAGCTGTGAAGAGTGGAGAGAAAGAAAGAAGTGGAAGATGTTGGAAGTGCTTTGGGCAACGTGAAGAAGGATTTGCACAGAAGGAGCTGTTCAAGGGCCCAGCAGCAAACCAGAGACACATACATGCTTATATATAGAAGAATGTAAACCCTCCTGTATGCATACGTTAAGACGTGCATGCCTTGTTGAGAACGTAAGCAACATTCCTTGTAGATGATGGTGGTGTGAGCATTCGTGCTCCTGCAGTCTGAGTCAAAAGATTAGTGATGTCCTTGCTGTAACACTGGCAGTTTCTCCACTGCACCTTGTTTATGGCAACATAAACGTTCCTTTTGATGCAGTGGGGTGGAAAATACATCCAGAGTTAAGTACTACCTTGAGAGACCAAGCTTGCTGCGGGACGGGCACAGCCTTGCCGTGGGGCGGGCACGGGTGCTTGGCAGCTTGGACGACAGACAGTGTATGTGTGTATATATTCAGTGCTATAGCACCAGGTGAGATAAGCTGTTCTTCTGACTTTAGTTTCTCTGGTGCTACATTTCATATTTGTCTGGGGCTAAACTGCCTCTCTGTGGTGCTACAGTTTCCCTGAGAGGATGTTCTGAAACATGGGACAAGGAAAAATCTATTTTGGTTATTGATATTTATACACAAGACAGCAAAAAAGTACTACTTGTTGAGAAGGTGCTATTACTTTTTCTTTCTTTCAATCTCTGCATAAATTAAGACAAAAGAATCTAGCCCAGAACTTTATAGAACTCATTTTCTTTGGGGCAGTTCTTTTTCTTTGGATGGTTGGGAGCTTGGGAAGCAGCATTCGCTGGGCTGGCAGTGACACCAGCTCTTTTCACTGCAGTGGACGTCTGCTGGTGCAGAATCTCCTACAGCTCCAGAGCTGGGTATCCTCCTGGATGGTGATTTAAGCCTCAAATCCCATGAACCAGGGAAGGGAACTGCACCTAGACTAATCAGTGAACTGGGGGATAACAGGAGAACCTGTCCTTAGAAAGCAAAGGGCTTTTTCAGTCTAGTACAGCGCACTTTTTTCTTGCAGCCAAAACTACCTGTCAGATGTAGGATACCTTCCAGATGCTATTGACAGTGATCACTATGTGCAGGGTTTTAGAAACATTTCTCCCAGCTTCAGATATTTGCACCACAAAATTGACCCTCCTGTGGCAGGGGGGGCGGTTTCAAAGGCATAAAGGAATGTCAGGAACCTGATTTCCAAAGGAAGTTTGGCTCCCTGTCTTTTAAAACCCCTGACCCTCACCCAAGGCACACGGCAAGTCAAACCTTGCGCTCTTCACTACTGCAGGAGAAATGTTTCTAAGCAATCTAAAAGCTCAACTCTCCCTTTATCAACTATTCTTCAGTGTGTTTTGGTCCCCTGCACACATCTTCATGGGTATTATTGATCCCAGTCAATTCACAAACAGCAGAAAGGGCTATGCTGAAAGAGCAAATTGTTCCTATTGAGTAACCTTGCCCTACTTTAGCTTATGTGCAGCGTTGGGAGGGATCATGTAGCTACGTGTAGTTTGTCTATTGATAGAGTTTCGATGGTCTCACAACCACGGGGACCCACAAAACGTTTTCCTACCACTTGGGGCCTGATGCTCAGTAATGCTCAGCATCCTGTCCCCTTCCTGCCTCAGCCTCCTGCTGAGATAAGTAAGAATTCTAGCAAAAGGAGGAGCCTCAGCTGATTTCAGCAGTGTTGCAGGTGCTGGATCAGGCATAGTCTTAAAAACAGAACTTCCTGCACATCACTCAAATGAGGGAGTGGAATTGTGTGTACAGTGTTGCACAGTCAGGTTGGAACAGGACATGGGGAGGACGGGATGGGGAACTGCTCTGCAGGACATGCAGCCTGCAGGAGGCCTTCCCTCCCCTACACCATCCTCCCTCCCCATGTGTGTACCCCATGTGTGTACCCCAAGTACCCAGAGGCAGCCTTGTGCCAACCCATCTGGCACGGGATCTGGCTTCCATTTCCCAGTGCAAGACAGAGGCCTCTCCCACATGTTCCTCACCTTTAACAATCATTAGCTCCTGAGTTCTGAAGGTTTAATAGACTTCTCACCTGGAATATGCATTATTCCATTTGCTCTTCCATCTCTGGGCATGCAGGACGTGCTGCTGCTGGTTCTCCTGCTGTTGGGATCTGCAGTCAGGGGACTTCTTGAGGCACTTTCCCCAAAGAAATTCCCCTGGAACACCGGAGAGAAGGAAGAGGAAAGGAAGTTCTCTCCTTACCATGAGTAAGGTGCTTACCTTGGGAAAGACCCTTATATCAGTGATCGACCTTGGTAGCAAAGTGATGGGCTCATCTGTCTCCATCCTAACCCTCTGTGGACAGGCTTTCTGGTAAAACCCCCAAGCCTCAGAACTCCCAGGGATCAGTGTCCTCCTTGGCAGTTCCTAATAACCATCAAAACCATGAGGAGACACGTGCTGCCCATTGCTACTCTTATGAACCAACCAAAGCTATGGTGCTTCCCAAGTGAAAACCAGAGCAGGTCCAGTACCCCAAGTCCTGCTTTAATCTTGATTTGCTTCACTTTTCTCATTCTAAATGGGATGTTTGGTGTGAACCATGGGTTAAGTTTTGGAGACTTTCATCTCTTAGTTGCTGGGTCAAGTGAGCTTTGCAGCTTACCAGCACTTCACAGCCAGCATTCGCTGTACATAAATGGCATTACTTACTAGAGGGTACATATTTGTCAAAGCCTTACATTTTCTGGTATAATTGCTATTCTTGAATGCCTCCATTTTTTGACAAGGGGTGTTTTTAGCCTTTTTAAAGTCCTTGCTTGAACCCTGGTTGATGTTTGTACTGCTAAAGCAAGCATGCTGTGTACTCCCCTAGCGCTGTTCTGACTGCACTGCAGCAGCTGTGTGAGATGGTGGTTTCTGGACCGTACTCATGGGTAGGAAACCAGCACAGTGCTCCTCTGCTTTCTCCCTCACAGCAGCCAAGAAGTCATTGATTGTGATGAGCTCTGCAGTTGTGCCTCTGTAAAGAAGGGGAGTGCTCTCTAAATGAGAGAAGACCTCATCTTAGGTTTCAGCAGCCGGTGTGTGGAGGCCGAGGAGGAGGTTATGAGCTCATAGTCTACACAGAACACCACATAATGTGGCCGTGAGGAAAGTCCTCATTAATTTTTAAAGCTGCACTCCACCAGGACAGCTCCCAGCACACGCTGGAACTTCACACTGGAATAACAAAGCTGCTGTGTCCTGTGAAGCTCCTCTCCCCCAGCCTGTTGTTAAACCAGGTCCTTTGGCCAAACTGATCCTAGGATAGCACCGCTGTCTGCTTGCAGGCTACACCCAGGCCAGGATGAGGCCCATTAATTCTGCATTCCTTCCTCTTCTCTCTTAGGATTATTTTCAGTAGTTAATATGGAGTGGGTCCAAGCCTCCTGCCATACACTTTCATGTGTCCACATCACCCAAACCAGTGAGGTGTCAATGGGGAGGAGTGAGAAGCCCATCGTGCCTCTGGTTCAGGCATACAGAAGTGACCCTGATTCGGCTAAGCCCCACACTAAAGCAGTTTCCTTAAATCAGAAACACCCGTTCAATCTGTTTAATCTGATTTGGGAACGTGCTCTTTCTGTATCGTGCTAAAATGATGAGAGACTTAAATCCATTGCAGAATCAGCTCCTTTGAAGGAGATGGATTACAATCTGTTTTGGTCAACCTGAGGCAGTTTTGATGTGCACACGGGCTGTGGGATCAGGCACTTTTCCCTGCTGCAATGTAAGATGGAACTGTTTGGTGGAATGCTGTTTGGTCCTGCAGGCTGAGCAGGCAGGTGATGGGGGAATGGCAAATGGGGAAGCCCAAATGAAGGAGATCTTTCCCTTCTGCACAGCTGCACTGCCATGTGCACAATGGTGAGGACAGAACAGGACATCTGCCTTAACATTCCATGTTAATTTTGCTGCACGTGGTTTTGAAACATCTGTGATCTGACAGACACCTAAGATACGTGCAACAAACTACCTGTGGCTGCACATTCAATCCCGGACCCATGTTTTTTGGCCATGTCCAAACCTGGCTATATTCTACCTGCACAGAGGTGACCAGGATCTCCACATCTTCCCTTAGAGCAGATCTGCATTCTATGCAAACACCGGGGTGTCAGCTGGTCTGCATGGAGGAGTCCTCATGCGCTGCTCCTACCTTGGCCTTCTAGTTCTGCCCTGGTCTGAAGGTGCAAAAGGCCCTCTCTGCTGTGTACAGGTGTATATCCCTGTTCCCAGCAGGAGACACTTCAGTGCTTCTTCCCTTTGCCAATCCCACTGGCTTGACTTGTGCTGCATCTGCATAACACGGATCTCAGTCAGCACATACCCCAGTGCACTCCCTCGCTTGGGCCTTCCAGACCACAGCTCTACCCGTGGCAGGGTGACTGTTCCAGGCAAAGCTGCAGGATTTCCACTCCCTGTCTGCAAAAGAAAGTTAGAAAACACAAAACAAGTGATTTTCTTCCCCCCAAAAATATTTATTTGAATCCAAGAGTGAATTTTGATGTTATTCCCATCAGAGTCCTTCAGAGTTCACCCTACTTAATACTTAGGAATTTAACAGGTTTTTCCAATATTTACAGAAAGTGACTGGAGCTTGATAAATATTCACTGAAAGCATCTGGGTATTGAACTGCAATTATTAGTTACAGTTATTAGCTTCAGATGCCACCCAAGTAGAGAGCAAGGCCAACTGCAGTGGGATTTGGTTTTCATGGGTATTCACATTTCCCATCAATGTGAAGTCCAAACTTAATCTCAAGAAAACAATGTTCCCCTCACCTCTGGTCCACAGGATGTTGGCAGCATCTCCATCCTGCAGCCAGGCTCCAGGAGGTGAAGTGCAGTGAACACACAATGCCCCGAGCATGGCTGGTTTGGATTTAAACCCTGGCAGAGTCACTGTGCACGTTTCCACCCTTACCAAAGCAAGAGCAAAGCGAAGCTCACTGCTGAGCCGAGTTCAGGAAGGCTCCTCGCTGTGACTGGATGGGGCTTCTCTCTTTTGTAAAAGGAATTTCTTATGCTGAGACTCTTTGTACATATTTATAATGACTTTATTAAAAAAAAAACCAAACAAAAGAAAAATGACTGTTCAATGGTGAAAAAGGCTCTGGGTCTTCATTTCCTCTCTGAAACTGGAGACAGTAATTCCTTTCCACAGCTATGGAACTCCACTGTGGTTCCTCATCAGCTGTCGCTAGAGCTGAAGCTTCCCCTCTATGTTCTCTGGTTCAAATGTCCTATTTGAGGGTGGAAGCATCCTGCCTCCCAAAGCCATCACATAACAGGCCTGGAGCAGCATGGGCTCTTTCCTCCCCAGAACAGGGACTGAAGGGGGTTGTTAAATTTAACAGCTCTATGATAGTGGTCTGTGGTGAATTCCTCATCTTGCAGGAGTTCAGGTGATCTCTGTAATGCCTCCAGTACAATAAATGTCCACTATATGAAATTTCACCTTCTATTTAGCACTAATTGACCTTAATTCACTTTAGAGAAGTGGAGCACTGGGTGGCCCACCACCCAAACCTGGTCAGAGGGAGGCAGCCCCTGGAACGAAGGTCACCCATTGGATCAGTGCTGCATCTTGTCACTGAGGTACCTGAACAGCAACTCTGCTGCCAACTGGTAAAGAACATTCAATAACATAAGACAAAGAATGCAAAAACTATTCCTCACCTGTCCCATTGATCACCTTCATTATCACCAAAGGAAAACAAAAACCACTGGAAATGGGATCAACTGCTATCTGTCGTGTTAGGCTCATACTGACCTTTCCATACACTCCTCCAAATACATTTTCCAGGAGCATGTAGGAAAAATACCAGTTAGAAGTGGCTTTTCAAACACTTTCAGGGCAGGTAGCACCAACCCTGTTAACGAATGGGCATTGCCCTGCAGACTGGTGCTCAAACCTTTGCAAATCCCTTGCTACAGAACCAGTCATTTTCCCTTTTGCCCATATCGCCACACTGGCATACACGTGTCTGTGCCCACTGAAAACCTTCCTTCCTTCCTGAAATCTTTTCCCCATCCCCAAAAAGGCTATTCCAGTTAGAGATGGCCACGGGACTCCTTGGCTTGATTCCCCACTTTCATGGGATCCATTTGACAACAATCAACTCTCTCTTTGGCACGTGGAGCTTTTCCTCCTCTACTTCCCTGTACCTCTCAAGCCAGATCTGGACTATCTTCCCCACTCAGGCTCTGCCTCTCCTGTTTCTCCTCTGCCTGTACTGAACTCCTATTCCCAAAGAAATGTTGAGCCCTAATCCTGTTACCATTAGCTCCAGTTTGCTTTAATTCTCCCTGGGGAGTTTCACAGCAGGAGGGGAAGGCAGCAGCCAGTACATACACAGAGGCTCATTTCCCGCAGGTACAGCTCTTCCTGATGATCCACTCAAGTGGATTGTAACTTTACAGCCATTTCCACAGTAATGTGCAGGGAAGATGCCACAGTTGCCTAATGAGGAGCTTTCTCTGGGCATGCAGCACAAAGCAGAGGTTGTTCAGTGATTGAGAAAGCTCCATCCCACAAACAACTCCATTTGTGTGGAGATTCCATTGCAGCAGCCTCAGCAGAGATGGGAACTGCAGCGACATGAAGTGCAGTCATTCTCCTGTTAACAGCACAAGGTATCCCCTCAAAGAGCTTTTCTTTTCCACCACCACAGGTGGATTATCCAGCTTGTGTTTAAACCAGGCTGGTTCCTGAAGCTGCTGTACAATTCTGCCCTCAGGGCAGGCAGTCTCAGGAAACTCAGCCTCCCTGATGCCCCAGGGCTTGTGGTGCTGCATAGACTCACATGCTTCCTGGGTTTGGACACAGGCAAACTCCGGATGAAGGCACTGAGCCTTCCTCAGGGGCTGCACTGAGAAGCATATTGCAGGGAGATCTGGATCTATGAGATGCTCTGGGTTAGGAGCTTGACTTTTCACCTGACAAATCAAGTTTGACTTTAACCTCTCTCTGCCTCCCACTGTTCTCCACATATGCTAAGAGATCAGAAAGTCTGATCATGAAAAGTAAAGAGGAAAAATATTCCAAGTGTCATTTCCATGGTCTCTCCCCAGTTCCTTGAGATTTCCAACCCATGCCATTTGTGGAATCAATTCCAAAGCAGGGCTGCTGGGAAAGGACATTTCTCCAATACAAAATGAAGTTGGGTCAGGAGGTTTTGAAGAACTTATTGGGAGGAGTTCTCAAGGGAAGTGTAACAGCAACAGCATAATTCTATGAGGTCAAAGATGCAGGGATGCTAGAGCCAATTCATGTGAAAAATCTCACAGCGGTTTGAGCCAGAGGACAGCTTTTCCCCCATATATCAGTTATACACAGGCAATTCACAGTACTCTTGCCTTAGACATGCAATATTTAGCTATACTAAAAAGAGAGAAATAAAGGAAACATCCCAGGCAGTTTACAACCGCGTAAGTTCAAGACAAAATCTTGGCTGTAGCTTAGCCATGGAGTTTGCCATAACATAAACCACCTCTTCCTTGGCTCCAAGGATAAAGTTTCTGGATAGTAACAGCTCTTGTTCTGTGGCTCCTGGAGAAACAGAGGTGGAAGAAAGACTAAGATAAATCCATGGGCTACTAAACAGGGGCCTTGGGATCACCAGGTTTTCCAGCTTTGTCTTCTGTCCACACACGTTATTGCATTTGTAATGGTTTTAATACACCTGGAAGTGAGCAGAGGTGGTGCCATCCTTCCAGCAACGCAGGGTTTCAACCGTGACAGAACGACAAAGAGGACAGGTCTTCTCCCGGTCAAACCAGAGGCAGAGGCATTCTTCACAGAACACATGCTGTGGAGACAAAAGGGCATCGTCAGGATGAGGCCAGGAGGTCCAGTCTTGTCCCATTCAAGAGGACAGCCATGGGAGCAAGGAATGATTCAGGTTCAAGTGGACAGTGGAGCTCTTTACCAGCATTCACATGATAAGAAATATAAATCCCAGCATTATTACTATTTCAGTTGGGCAAAGCTAGTGACATATTTACTGTTTCTTACTATAGCAGTAGAAACATTTAAAAGGCAAACATTAAAACAACATCTGGGCTAACAAAGTGGTTCAGAGGGTTTTCTCTACCATTTTTCCATCCTTGATTCCCTGTCTGTACTTAGCTCAAACAACCCCTTCCCTCCCCTTACTCACTCCATTTGCTTTTTTTGGGCTCACATAGAATCATAGAAAGGTTTGGGTTGGAAAGGGCCTTAAGATCATCCAATTCCAACCCCTTGCCACAGGCAGGGATGCCTCACACCAGACCATGTCGCCCAAGGCTCTGTCCAGCCTGGCCTTGAACACTGCCAGGGATGGGGCAGCCACAGCTTCTCTGGGCACCCTGTGCCAGTGCCGCAGCACCCTCAGTTCCAGTTTCCCCTTCTCTATAAATGTCATTTTTCACTCCTTATCTTCTCTCATTTCAACACTGAGCCACAACAGGACTCTCCCTCCAGCCTGCCGTGGGTACAGACAGGGGTCAGGAGGGATGGCTGCCCAGCACACCCCACCATCTAGCCCCAGGCTGTAAGAGCAGGAACAGGGCAAGAAGAGAGCATTGAGAAGCTGTAAGAAGCTAAGACTTCCTCAGCACGTGTGGAGCCAGCAGAAATGTTCCTCATTGGAATCTCAACTCTGATAAACACATACCAAGATAGAATCTCTGGGGCTGACAGCTTGATAACATCTGCACAGATGTTCACAGGAATAGTAAGAGGCACTTTTGATTCACTGTGACCTACTTGCTTTAATTTGATAAGCCTGGTACAAAGCAGATAAAAATGTCTTGCATTCTAGATCCAAGATCTGTAGTCTCTGGACTACAAGGCTGGTCTTTTCCATCTCAATATCTGTGACCAGCCCCTAAAGAGTGGCTCAGTAATCTCCAGTCACTGCCTGTCTGGAAGAGGGTAATAAATATCCACAAAGATGTAGATTGAGTCCCAGTAAATTACTTCAGAAGTACCCAGGCTGACTGTGCCTCTCCCCAGCTGCAGAAGGTGAATGCCAATGGGGAAACCTGGCATGGGAAGTTGGGGTCTTACCTGGCATATCAGGATCAAAGGTTCCCTGAATTCTGCTTGGCAGATGGCACAGATGTCACCGGCCTCAGTGCACTGCTGGCTGGTGGCACGAACTCCATAGGTCTGTTATGCAGAGGTGGGAAAAAATTCCAGTGTCAAAGGGTTTGAAGATAATCTGGGTTTGGCTGCATGTATTTATAGACACTGGTTTTCACACCCAGATTCCCTGCATGACCTGGGCAAGACACCTGTGTTATGTCACTGTGTATGGGGAAGAGAGATTCGGGCACCAGCACACAGGACAGAGGGAGTGGAGCTCTGTGTCCCCTCTTTTGTTTTCCCCTCGAGCTGACTCCATCTTTTAGTGCCTCCACTCGGAGCAATGATAATGGAACGTAATGAGCTCAACAGGGAGCTGAAAGGATTAATTCAGCATCATTTACAGAGGTGTTTAGATAGTAGGAGGTATTATTATTAGCAAGTTAGACAATAGAGGAAAGAACAACAGCAGCAGCACCCACAGGCTTCCCACTTGTCTTTTTAAATATGTGGAAGGTAAATGTTGCTTCTCCTATTGGAACAGTAATAGGGGAAATAGAAATATGCTGAGGAAAACTGCCCAGCCCAAGCCCACAGAATAAGCAAGGCTGCTCCAACAAACACCAGTGATGTTTTATGTCCCTTTTGTCTACAGTCTTTGATTTTACCACCTTAAAATATGCCACAGTATTTTCACTGCACAGATCTAAATATCAGGACTGTATAATGTGATGCTTGGGATAATTTCTGTGCACTGCAGCATCTCTTTTAAAGGCACTGCACATCAGGAGCTACATCCTTCTATTTGAAGTCTTTCTCACACTCTGCACTGCAAAGTTCTGTCAGCTTCTTGCAGTTTTGGCCTCAATGGATTAATCCATATTATACAGTGTTTCCAGTCAAACAGGCCAGACTAGCAACAATCTCTTACCACCGCTGGGACAGGGCAGATACTAGAAAAGGTCCCTAACACCCCTGACAAGAGATACAGCTTATCCAGCCATGGGACAAGTGACTTCATTCTGTGATCCCAATACACTGAGCAATTTTCAACTCCATCACTCAACAGTAACAAAGTTCCACCTATGAAACCTCTCTGATGTGTGTGACTACTCACCTGTGGGGTGCAGAGGACCTTCAGCGCCTTCCTGACACTTCCCAGACGACCACAGATGTCAAAAGACTGCAATAAAGACATTCCAGTTTACTTTTCACAGAGTGTGTGTGTGAGTGCTTGTGTGGACAGTCCAGGAACTCGGGAAACAGTGGCTCCAAATGGATACTCAAAGGGAACAAACACCCTAAGTAACAATGGTGCCAAAAAACATCTCATGGTGATCATGAAATATGTGATAAATGTGAATTGACAAGGGAGAATGGTGGCCAAAAAAGTGCTGGTAACAATGGACTGCAAAGCAGAGACCTTACCAACAGAAAGAGGAGGAGACACCAGGGGGTTGTGGTGGGGTAAACTGTCCAGCCCTACTAAGTAGGAAAGAGCTAAAATGGACCCATTCCCACCATGAGAACTGAGGACCTGAGAAGCCCAGAAGTGAGGTTAGAAAACACTGCAGCTAGCTTGGGAAAGAGGAAAGGAAAAGCAGCCTTTTCACATGGAAGAACAAGAAAGCAGCTTTCCTCAGCCTCTGGGAAAAGGGAACTGCCACACACTTGAGGGCCCAGATGATACTGATGCCTGTCCTGGTGCTGAGAGTGATTTAGGGGATTAGATGCTATGAAGAGAAGAATGACCTGAGAAATAAGGAGCAGGACTGAGGCTGGGTTGCTCCCACCCACCTAAAGAGTGAGAAACTTCAATTGCCAGGAAGGGGGTGAGTGTCCAGCACGTTGGTACTTTGCAGACGCCCAAAGATGGCCAAAAGCAGGGGCAACACTAGGCCCTGTTCTTTCCCCCTCCCTCCATTGCCAGCAAACATGATGTAAATACATGGGGTGAGCAGCCTTCATTCTGGGCTCCTCATTAAATACTGAAAGCAGCTCAGGGAAGGGCAGTAAATGAGTTTGCAGAAAATGATTGCTGAAAAGAGACTAAAGGACATAAATATGTACAGCTTGGCAGGGTAAAAAAGTGGGGGGAAAAGACGATAAACTGACTACAAGTATCAAGGGGCTGAGCAAGAGAGGAGACACTCGACATGGTAAGAAGCTTCAGCTTCCCTATCTGCTGGCAGAACACAGGGAAGAAGACACTATGAACACTAGGAAGATATGAAGAAATGACTGCAAAGAACAGCCCTGCATTAGTTGGGAGAAGGGACAGATGATATAATAGGACCTTTCTATTTTGAACCTGCCTGAGTGAGCAGCAGATATGAGGGCAGCATTGATGTGAAGCAGGACATGCAGAGCTGCACCAGCTCTGCATGTACAAAGGCTCACCAGTACAAAGGCACCAGAATGCCTGGAGTTGGCTTCCTATTGTTTTCCCTTTTTGGTCAGCGTGATTAAGTGGGCTCACTGCAGGGAATGCCAATGAGATCATCAGGCAAGAGATGTGGAATCGAATGAAGGCACCAATAATGCTTCCAGTCAGCACGTAAAAAGGCTCCCATGGTCCTTGTAGTAATGCTTCCAGTCAGCAACTAGCACTTGAGGCTGCCCACTACTACACTTTGTATCATCTAACAAGGATAAGGATCAGCTCTTCTCTACAGTCCAATTCAGAGCTTTTTCTGGTTGCTTTCTTATAGCATGACTTCTAACATCCCTGCTCTGGCTCTGATGTCTCCTCTTCTCCCAGCCCATTTATCCCCCTTCAGTTTCTTTTCCTCTGGAGTTTTCTGTAACCCCAAAAGATGCATCTTACAGTTGTCTAACATCCATTTATCACCCCATGCACTGAAGTTGCATCACTCATCTTTCTAGCAATACAATTGCAGCAATTGGGTTCACAAACAGTGAGTGTTTCTGTTCAGGACAGGGAAGAAATAAGACCTCATGTCCTTACTGATGAACATCTGTGATTTCCTTGTCAAAATCACAGATCCATGTTTATACTGTCCAGACAGGGACACCAAGACAGCTCCCATCAGCTGTGCTATATACACCCTCCTCCAGGTTGAGCCTGCCCTTTGTGTAAGGAAAGGGGATGCTGAGCCCTGGATTTCTGCCAGCAGCACAGAAGCTCTGAGTGCCAAATTGGCTTCTGTGGTTTTTCTAATGTGGTTTGTGGCTTTGCTAATGTGGACTCCTTTGGGTATACTTTCAGTGTCTCAGACAAAGAATTAGACCTGCAACTCCTGTGATTGTAGATGGGATGCACACACCTAACGTTTTATGATCTGTATGGGAAGCGTGCTCCCAGTTTTCTTCCACTTCCAAGCAAAGTCGTGTGCAGAGGTCTAATCCTAACCTGGACACGTGTGTGGTACTCAGCAGTTGCCACATAATGACCTGGAACGTGTTCCTGGACCTATCACCTTCAGCTGGCCTACGCTTCCGTGGACATCTTTGATGAACTAGATGAATTAAAGGAAAAAACCATGAATGTCAAAGGCACAGGCTGTAGCCAAAGCACTTTCACAAAGTGTGCACCTCAGTCCTATCCTAAGGTATAGCCAAGGCTGGTAAATAGCTGCCCTCTCCTCTTCTAAACAACTGATCAGCAGGACTTTCCAAAATGGAGTTGCTTTTCAAATCTCGATCATCACAACACCACCTATGAAGGCTTCATAGTACAGAAACATCAAGTTAAACCATAAAGAACTGCTGGCACCTATGTCAGGGCCCTGAGTGCATAAATAGGCCTCCATGGCACTGACAAGCCTCACCTGGGGTGCCCACCCACAATCCCTGCCCATGGGGGCAGGAGCTCTATTTCAGCTCTGCCTGGAAGCAGCAGTTCATGTCTGAGGTATGCTATCCAAGTGGTGGTTTCCAGTTCTGCAGCCATACCCGTGCCAAGCTAGAGATTCCACTGACCTGAACACCACAGCATGTGGATTGACTTCCTACCCTCACCTTGAGCCAAGGAACACATGGCCCCCACTATTTCTTCACACTCTAAGGGCTTCTCCAAATATCAGAAATGGCATGCAGAACTGCAGATAAGAGTCCCTTTTCCAGGTGTTGAGTAACTCTTGCAAGAAGGGACACCAGATCTCCCTTTGTAACTGTGAAATGTGTGCTTGACCTCACAAGCTAGAAAGGTTGAACATTGTCCAAAATGGAGCCAGGCAATGACACCTATGAAAGGGGCAACAAAAATCTCCAGCAGGACAGAGTAAAGAGCAGGAAATGTACAGCTGAGAGAATGAATGGGTGTGTAGGGAATTCCACTGGTCTCAGGTTCTTTCTGTTCTGGCATAGTTTGCTGTGCTTCTGGCTTGATTACAGACCTGCTGTGCCCAAATCACTTCTCACAACTTCCTCTGCCTATCTTGCTTACAAAAACTGTATGTTTCTTGGCAGCAGGGGTGGCAATGTTCCATTCCTATACAACATATAGATGCAACTGCAGGCACTTCTTGCATAAGATCTATTTTATGGCTTAGTTATGACTCAGCAATCCATTAGCCCCTTTGAGCTGTTTTCAGCTCAGCTGTCTTCTGTTCTTCAGTCTGCTTCTGCAAAGCCATAGCCCCTTTTTCCTAGCACAGACAAGTATCAGGGCTGCAGCAAGCTTGAATCACTTGGCCTTTCTCAGAGATGGACAACACAGATATATATATCCTTATTCAGCTACTGTTTTGCCTTTAGGCAGGGTTCAGTGCACACAATTAGATGTATTTCTAGACCTCAGACTCAGGACTCCAAGTAAGTCACACCTATTAATTTCCAATTGTACAGCCAGACTTTGTGCTCTTAATGCTTGTGAGGAAACATTACTCTTGTCCGTTGCTGAGATCCTGGACTTGTATCAGCCAGAGTGGGACCAGAACTACCTGTTTTACTTCATCAGGACTTGGATGACTCTTTCTCTCCCTGCTCCATTGAGTATTGTGACTAACAGAGTACCTACCCTGCCTTGAAAGGCAGAGGAAGGCTTTGAGAGAAACATTTAACTGTCTGCAATCTTCCTTCTGGTGTTGCATCCAGAAGTTTAGTGACAGTTAACATCTCTTCCAGTCCTGGTCCCCAAGACTCCACTCCCATTCTCTTCTAGCTCTTATAGAAGGGTATTAGGAAGCAGCAATGACTTCATAAGCCTGATGCAATGCTACATGAGGACTCACAGATTTTCCTCTAGCTCATCAATGCCCACATACTGGTGAAGCAAAAGGCTTTTGGCAACTGAAACACATGGTGTTCCCATCTGCTGCAGCTTCCCTTCCTGCATAGTGCTAGCAACAATCAAGAGGTACATTTGCTCCCTTCAGCTGTGCTTCTCTCTCTGTTCTTGCTACAGCTCCCATAGAGGTTATTAGGGACGTGGTACTTACCTTGCAGAGGCTGTACAAGATAATCAGGATCCCACCAAGGAAGTAGCTGCTGGATGGATCATCTCCCATGATGTATTTATACCATAGCTGGATGGGGACAAGGGAGCGGAAGAGCTGGCTTAACTCCTCAATAATCAGGTAAAACTTCCCCTGTAAAACCCAACAAGGGGCACATCATTACTATCAGCAAGGCAAAACAACAGCACTTAGTTGATGTAGGGCTTGTGTTCACTGTCCACCTGCATACTGCTAAATGGTGCAGAGACCAGTATTCATGACATGCAACTTTCTTTGCAACCATTTAACTTGGGGTGTAGAAAGGATAACCCACTTCACTGTTCCATGGTGTTCTTCTTGCTCTGCCACTTACCCAGCTATTCTACACTTTTGTATCTTAAACTCTTAGAGCAAGTTATGGATATAAACCTTACTGCTGACCTGGACATGCTAAAGAATGCTAAAAGCAGGGGTTAAGATTTACAGGAATTAATATGGCATAAGTTGTAGATACTGTTAAAGATGAGAAAAGGAATGCAGGGTAGGTGTCTCTGATCCTGTATCCCTTCTGAAGCTACAGCAATTAAATGGAAGGCAACACTGCCCTTCCTGACAACTTTCTAGATCATCCCAAAGAATCAAGTTCATTATCTGTTTGCCAGCATCCTTCCACTCAGGTGTGTGTTGGCTCTTGTGTGTTGTACAGTACACAGATAAGACTGGCGCTGAAAGAAAACCCAAACCCTCAAGGCATTTTAAACTGAAAGATAACAAACATTCCCGAGGGCCTTAAGGAAGAAAAAAAGGGGAGGGGGGAGTTGAAACACTTCTCTCTCAAAAGAGACTCAAAGAATGGGTGCCATCCTTTGTAAACCTGCACCAAAGCTGTCCTTGCCCTTCTGGTGTTTACTCCAATAGAAAGCTTTCCTTCCCTGAAGGACACCTGCAGGGTAACAAACTCCCTCCTGGCTTACACAGCCATGAGATGCAGCAACTGAAATGGCTCTTTCTTACCACATAATTTCTATTTAAAGCACACAAGATTAGGAAAGCTGGCTAAGTAAAGCTCTAATTTAAACCCACTCCAACCCCCTACTCCTTCCTCAGTCTTAATGAGGACCCTTTATGTTCTGTCCCACACTGTTTAAAAGGGAGAACTGGTGACAGAGCCCCAGGCCAGGGCAAGCTATGAATGCAGAACTAGGCTTAACCTCCACTGACACTATTAGGAGTGAAAGATTTGTTTTTAACATGTCCAGATTCCTTTCTTTAAGATCATGGAGCAGGGGAAATTCCCCTGGAATTCTGCTGTGCTGTCCCGGTCAGCTTTGTCATCAGTGATGTCATCACAGGGCAGTTGTTAACTGGGGAGATTTGGAGTGGGGATTAAGTCCTGTGCAGCCCCTCAGCAGCAGCCAGTGCCCTTCCCCAGGGGCTCAGAGATGAGCTCACTCCTTAGGCCGTCCTGCTGCACCGAGCAAATCGAATCCTTCAGAGGGCTCTGGCATGCTCATGATCTCATATCCCCCCGGGGACAGGGAGTGAGGTCACACCAGCGGTTGCTAACGGACCTGGGCTGCTTTCTTCTTCTCCCCCGTCCAATCCCCTCCTCCTTGTTAATCCCAGGTGGCATCACATAGCAAAAATGGAATAGCAACAATCTGGAGTCCTAAATGCAAGCAATTTATTAAATTAGCACAGAGGTCTCTATCCAGCCTCATGCTTCAATGCAATCATCGTTTATTTCGGGTGCCCTTGTGACAGAGGGTCGCAGTCTGCTAATGACTATGCTGTCACTTCCTTCCCTTCACAGAGGCAGTTCTCTGCCTCCCCCTCCTCAGCCAGCTCTGATGAAAGCTACAGCAAGCTAAAGGCAGCAAACTGCTTTCTCTGACACGTCCCTCCCATCAGGCTCGCACTCATCTGCTTTTATTCAGCCCTGCTTCCCTGGCAGGCTGGGCTGGGACAGGTCACTGCTTACTTTCTCATTGCATCAGACACAGCTTCTGGATCCAGCATTTGGGGCATCAAAGCTGAAATTCCTCTACAACAGAAGCTTTTGAGGCATGTAAACACCAGAACCCACAGCAAAGCGTAAGGAAAGATGGGTCACAGGCAGCCCTAGAGGTCCAGACAAGCTGCACAATTGGAAATGGCAGAGTGCGGCTCTAAAATGAATATGCAACAAGTGGCACACTTCAATTTTCTAACCACAAAATCTCCACCCTTTACAACGCTTTCAAAATCCCTTTATCTGATGCAAACCTTCAGTTCTCCGTGGTAACTGCAGGGTATCTGGATTTCTTGGCAGCTAGGCACTTATTTACACTGTCACAAGAGTGAAGTCAAGCTTTAAATGGGTGCATCTCTCCATCCACCCCCTTAACACCAGCCACCTGACCACTGATAAGCTTGGAGTGATTACAGCAAGGAGGAGGGAAGCAATACAAAGGAGCTGAGCATCATTTAGAGAAGTAGTGCTACAGTAAATACTTACAGAAATGTACTGTCCTGCATCTCAGTCCTCAGTGTAACACACCAGCCCTTTTTAAAGTAGGAAAGGTGCCTAGAAAATCAGCATTAATTCTACAATGGACTGCAGCAAAAATGGAGTTTTCCTTCTGAACCTAAAGCTTAGAGAACAGGGATTGTCCCCTCCAATTCCAGCAGCAAAATCTAGACTTCTGATAGCAATAACTTAAAGCACATGGCACCCATCACTGGGTGGAAGCACATCCAATCTACCTGTCTGTCATCCACTTTTCAACTTTGAAAGCTTCAACCTAGATAGCCAAGATATAACAAAATCAAACCTTTGTCTCAAGCTGTTTTTTGTCTGAAAACCTCAGCTGGAAGTACTTCAGCTATTTCTCATTAAGATTAGGAAGAGCTGTCTGTTACATGAAGCACAAATACAACTGTTCCATACATCTGACTGTGAATGAAGCTTGAAATAAAGCAAAGCCTGCTTCTGTTACGTGACTTCCTATTTCATAAAAAAAATCCATGTAAAGTTAGGAATCTTCTCTTGAATACACTCTACAGAGGTTGAACAGCTCTCCAAGATCAGCAGAAGCTCTTTTTGGTGAGCCTGTGAGCCAGCCCCAGTGCATGACTGGGCTGTGCAGGAGCACACCTATCTTGCTGGACTACAGAGATTAAATAGCATGTTACCTGGAAGTATACCTGGATAAAGCCACAAACCAGAGGAGTCTCTGTTCTGCTCTCATCAAGCTCTTGCAATGGGTTGGAGTTAAGTCTGGCTAGAAAGGTAGTACACTCCTTACTCTGCTTCCTCAGTTACTATAAAAGCTGACAGTCATCTACTACTATTAGCAAATACTTCATTAGCACAAGTGGCAAAGGACTGTGCTGTGGATCCAGTTACAGCAACTCTGATGGGCCTTATGATACCACGTGGTGAAACTGATTTCTCTTTTTTCCCAGTTACAAACTAAGCCCATGACTTGTGTACAACCCTCTATTTTTCTCTATCTCCTTCAGCACATAAAGACCATTTTTAGCCTTTAAAGCAAGCACTTATTTCAAGAGCAGAATTCAGGATTTTCATACAATTGTGATTTTTCTCTCTGTACAGGCAATACATTATGGTCTGTAACAATGTGATCACTATTTTTTCAGAGAGGGTGAGTGGTACTAATTAAACATGTAACTTGTGAGTATGGTTTCCTCGCTACTTGAAGGCAGATCTGCATCCTACCACTTCATGCTATCTGAGCATTACTCAGAGTAGCCTATCACTAAAACGTCTTCACTCTCTTTATGATACCACTACAATAAAAGATGTTTTAAACCCCCATTACTTTCACATTGTTGGCTGACATAAGGGACAGCTATTTTCTCTATTTTCTAAATGAGAGCTCAAGACACATAGACTAAGGTTAAGGTAAGGTTTTTTTGGTGTCTAAGTTGAGATGCCTGGGAGTAGACTTTTTATAAAGCACTTAATTTTATAGCTCACATTACCATTAAAAGCTAAAGCACTGACTTCAGTTTGCAGCTGTACATGACTCTTCTAGAATCACACAGGAATTATTTGGCAAATGAAGGATGGAATTGAATTCTCCAGTGTAGCATTCAACTTCAACTTGCAGAATATTCCTCTTCTTCCAATGGTCTCTTTGTTCTCTATGCTTTCTGGTTTCTACAACAGCTTCTTTCAATACCTCACCTTGCTTTCACTGGTGATGGATGGAAGAAGTCTTACAGAAAAATAACATGGAATCACATAATTAAAACTTGAATCACAATTTAGAAACATCAAAGGGGACAAATCACAGCTGCAGAAGCAATGCTAATTCCCACATAGTCTGAGCACTAACTTAGTGGTCCCTTTTGACATAAGGCTTTGCATACATGTGCTCCACAGAAGGAAACAGGCATGCTAAGGTTTTACACAGCGGAATTAAAATGGGATGTAAGAGAAGTGAGAGAAGTTGCAATGAGGCAACTGTAAGTTGTGATTAGCACTCAAGGGAAGTTCCAAGTCTCACTTTTCTGTTGCCAGCAGCATTAGGACATATTCTGAAACAGGAAGATGCTAGAAAAACAACTTTTGAGACCTGCTGGCAATTTGGATGAGAGGAAAGCAGGCTCTGCTGAGATTCCAGGTCATATTGCCAATATAAGGAAGTGTTGGGTAGGAGCAGTAAACAGGATTGTGGCACAGAGGATGCTGGTGAAAATCCATGCAAGACTAATGAGGAGTAATTCCAAGGTGGGATTAGAGGGGAAAATGAGATTTTTACTTGGTGCACAGCATGTCTGAAAGTCACATCTTGGATATCTTAAACTGGAAAATCAAACTTGGCATATAGGAGCAATGATTCCTTTAGAAACTTAGCGGCAGTGACCTTCAAAGTGTGTTAGGGAAAGGGACAGAAAGGAGTCCCAGCTCCCCAGTACCTAATCCTATGCTTTAGTTAGTACTTTTCTTTCAGAAGTAATAAATCCCCCACTTCTGACTCTGGGACATCACATCCATCCCAGGCTGCAATAGGGAAAAGCCTCTGCAGAACCATCACGTAGTTCCTGTAGGTCCAGAGGATCAAAACTAAGGTTGCTGCCCAAGAAGCATGAATCTGAATGAGTTCCCCCAAGTAGCATCCAAGATCACCAAGAAGAGAGGACAG